CTAATGCATATTAGAGTATCAAACAACTTTGTAATTTAATTTTTTTTTTCTTGCATCACCCTGTAAGGAGATATCGCCCGATATCGCACTAAGTGGACACCCGTAAGTATATCTATCTATACAATATATGAAAATCAGTGTTTGTTTGTTTGTTCGTTTTTTATGGACTCGGAAACCGCTGAACCGATCTCCTTGAAATTTGTACCACATAGTTTCTACACATATAAATGAGAGCGTTATAGGCTACTTTTTATCTCGGAAAAATGCACAATTCCTGTGGGATAGATCTGAAGCGTAAATCTTGGGTTAGTTTAAGACAATTGTTTTAGGGGAGGCGTAGCAACGCAGGTACGGTACAGCTAGTAGGATAATGAAATACAAATATTTTAAAATAACTTGTTAACTTAATCTTCATAAATAATCATTGTTAGGTCTTATTATCATGAATGGGTGCCTACATATCTACAAACATTTTAGTAATTAAATAGATTTAGTAGGAAAATAAAATACAAATATTTTAAAATAACTTGCTAAATAAACCTTCTTGTATAATCTTGTAAATTAGGTCTTATTATCAATGGGTACCATATCCACCAACATTTTATTAATTAATAACATTTTCTGGTTCAAACTCTGATCCTAAGGTACCTTCCAGCCATTCACCTTTCAACATAGTTAAAATCTAGCCATAAAGGGTCTATTGTATTCACAATTATTGTTTTTGGACCCTTCATATACAGGGCCAGAATCCGAGATAAAGGGGAAGAGGAAACAAAAGCTCAAATGTATATAAATATATGAAAAGGTGAAGGAATTAATTAGATTTTGCTTCTTTTGCATTAGGAAATGCTTAGGTAGGTATACTTACTGGAAATTAGTGTCACTGAGAAAATATAAGTATTGATAGTGTGGGAAATTACCTGGAATAGAACCAGAACTATGCACGGGTGGCATTGACAGTAGTCATCAGTCATTGTTAAAAATGCCAAACGGGGTATAGTGCGGTTTTTCTTGATCCCTTGGCAAAAACGACGAACGACGTAACGACGGCCATTTGGCAAGCGCGAGAATTATTAAAACGACGTAGAACGACGAAGTGATTAACGACGAACAATAATTTATCGCGAATTATAATCAATATCTGTGTTATTTTTACGAAGTTCAATCATTATATTATAATATTTACTGTTGTTTTGGTGCTTTGTGATTTTTTTAACCCCAGATACCCAAATCGTCCCTATATATCCAACAATAGGTAGGTACCTACCCATAAATTTTAATCTTTTTTAAAAAAAAGGCTGTATGGATATTGGTCGAAACCTCTACAGTGTGACTTTTGAGTAGCCATTGTGCCTACAGGGTGGACCATTTTCGATGTTATAATGGACTATATTCAAAACCAGCAGCCGCCTGGCTAGAACAAATTACTGCTCACTTACTCACTTGCGTTTAGGAAATATAAGACGATGTTCAATTTTTGCCCAATTTTAGAAAATTTTGTGATTTCTATATTATTAAACCCCTATATTTTTATTTCATTAAATATCTCTCTTGGAGCTGATTTCAATGCGGTTTTGGATTTTATATTTAGGTATAGATCCATTTGTCATATTTTGCGAGAGAAAAAAAAAACATTTTCTTCATGAGGAAGAATATCAGAAACGAAAACCCACCCGTGGAGCTACAAAAAAAATACCTTCATCGGTTATCAAACAAAGAGGTTTTCAAGTAAACTAGCTCGTATTTGGAGACGTACCTAGTCCTAAATGATAAATATGTGATCACTATGCAACTTCTATAAATAGATCTATATGCATTTTGGGATTGCGTTTTTTACTACCATCAGTTTGCCAAATAAGTTTTCATATCCGAGGAATATTATTTTTTATATTGCTCGTAGGCAAACAATAGGTACAGGATGAGTTGCACATCATTTCATTTTATAAAAAAAACAATTCAATAACAAAAAATTTCCACAATTAAAATCTGTGTCACCGATTATCGTATATCTTCTCTAATGAAATAGTGCATCAGGGCATCGCGCGATTCGATGACTGGAGGCTTCGCTTGGACACTGTCACTGAAGTGCAACTTTTTTCATTTGGCAGGTCTTCATCTACGCGAAGAGAGCGTGCAAGATATAATAGATCTAGAACAGCAGTTGGTTTTTTCAGAAAAGGAAAATTCTACAAATCGCTTGTAGTGTACAGTGTAATGTCTTGGTAAACATGTTGTGATATGAGGCATTCTGTCAATCGCTGGTGTGAATAAACTGATTCATTATCAATCCTCTGTTTCTAGATAGTCACGAGAAGTGGAGTTCAATTCAATCAATTGCCACTTGACCCAAGAACTGGTAATGAGCACAAGAAATTGTAAGATGACGTCAATCAAATATATGAACTAGCGCAATTCCCAACAAATTAGCACCTCATCCCCATTGTATATTTTAAAGAAAATACACTTCAAAGCACTACTTCGCGATGGATTTAAGATAGAGGGCGTTATATATACCTACGGACGCTCTTTTGAGCTGCAATTGAAGCAACAGTTTGCTACAAATGAATTAGGTACGTATGGTTTTTTACTATAGACGCTATCTTAAGACATTCTCCGTATTTGGCAAGATACTTGACCAGAACGAAAACTTTCAGGTTTTCGGAAAAAATGACAATTTTTGAAAAATTGTTTCTCGAATAGTTGACGTACGGAGTTAGGTTTACGTTCAATTTTTGTTCTAGTTTTGAAAAGAAAATAATAACTTTTTCTGTTTGACACCACCGGCGTATACAAGGGGGGGGGTAATGGGGGTAATTACCCCCCCCAAGATCGTTACGATGGACGAAAAAAATGTACCCTACACCTTACAAATAAATCTATTTTTTATATTTTTACTTTTCAGCAACTGGCCCTAACTTGTTTTCTAGTTTGCACAGTGTCCGCACTGCCCGCATGCCATTTATAGCGAATTCTATTCAAAGGGATAGTGCACACTGAGTGTATTCATATCTTTCTCTACTAGCTTGCATAAGAAAGAGATAAATAAATTTTTTGTATTAATCCTACCAATAGAATTCGCTATGCCTATAATTGAAAAGTTTTAGGCGATTCTCATAGCGAATTCCATTGGTAAAATCAGTGCGAAAGAGTGTATTTTTATCTCTTTCTTATATAAGCTGGTAGAATAAGATACGAATACACTCGGTGCGCACTAACCTTTATTCCAATGGAATTCGCTATCAGAGTTCGGTTTCGTTATTTGTTGGTAGTACAGAACATATTTACCTAACAAATGCGAAAAATGAATTTTTCCGCACGAGTCTGTCGTTCACCCAAAGACGCGTAGCGGAATTCGGTGAAGCAGCCAAGTTTGGAAGACAGATTTTTCGCATGTGTTAGGTACAATAGGTTTTTTACAGACGTGCGGAAATAAGTAGGTACATATACCCAAGGATGATACACACTACTTTTACTACAGGATGGCTTAACCTCATAAGGCCTGTTTATAAAAAATCCCCCTCTACCCCCCTTAGCCAAACAACCAGTTGTGACGTAAGCAGCATGGCGTTTCTCGCCTTGACGTAGGCTGTTTAAACAGCTGAAAACTTAGTTATGACGTCGACAATGGTTGAAAACAGTTGAAAACCAATATGGCGGCGATTACCAAAAACGAGAAAGAGTTGTTTCAGAATATTAATTAATGTAGTGAAACCAAGTTTTGCATAAAGGAAAAGCCCGCGGAATCATAAACACCCTACGTGAAGACGAGAAACGACACGCTGTCTACGTCATCACTGATGATATTTTGGCATGGCAGCGGCGGCTTCAGATTGAACTACACAGGCCTTATGAGGATAGACTATCCTATAGTAGTAGTGTGTAGTATCCTTGCAGGAAACTGAGGTACAAAAGTAACCTCTTTTCCAGGAACCAGTAATTAGTAATTCGATTACTTTCGGAACGCTTTTCTGTATTTGCCACATTTTTATTTTTCGTTGAGGAATTATGATCAGGAGCATTAACCCTCAGATTTGACTGGATTTATGCCCGATTGCACCATCTCTCTTAACTGAGGCTTAACGATAACTATCCCTTAAATTGACAGTTTTGCATGGGAAAATGTCACTTTAAGGAATAGTTATCTCTAAGCCTCGGTTAAGAGAGACGGTGCAATCGGGCATTACGATTTAACCCATTTCCCAAAATCCCAAAAAAAAAACTTGCTTCTTGATGTTACAGATTGGTTACCAAGATCGTGTGTCAAAATCGTGTAATTGTGAAAAATGGAAGCGTGTAAAAACGTGTAATTTTACCAGCATATCGTGCAATTTCACAAATTCAGATTGACAACACTGCCTTGCATATACCTACATAATTTGTAGTCATTTATTGATTTTTTTTTGACAGCCATGCGGAAAAGATTTAGATTTTTCCGCACCGATATCCGTGCGGAAAAAAATTCGCCGCACCGTGCGAGAAAATCGATTTTCCGCACTGTTTAATTGTCCTCACTCTCGTAGATAAATTTTTTTTTGAAGGCTCAAAGTAAACGTTTTTGGGCGTGGCACCCGGGAAAAAATGGGCTGATTACCCCCCCCAGACGCATGGGCTGGATACGCCGGTGTTTGACACATACTTCAGACGAGATATTGAGTCAAAACCGAAACATGTGCAAATATTTTACCGTTGTTGAAGCCTTGTACAGATCTTCCAAAACTTCAAACTAGGTTTCTTGCTATTGTCATAAATCGAAACAACATATTAAAAAATTATAGCTACATGAGCTTTTTGCACGATCGGCTGTTTGAATTAATCCGGCCTAAATATGTTTCGACAAATATGTTAATCCTTATCAAGACTTGAAAGACGCTCAAATTTTAAGAACAATGTCCATTTCAAATTATCGATAACTCTTAGTCATAACAGTTAATTTAACTGTAGGTTGTTAAACAAAATAATGTTCCAAGGCCCCTCAAAAGATAAAAATAAATTCTTGTTACCTTAACAGTCTGTGATTTCAATTGCTTATCAGGATCTGGAATATATTCCAAAGTAATTCCATAAAATTGACCCTTGTTAATATAAGTAATCCTGTCATCTTCCCTCCTCTGCGAAGTGGATATAGGCGATTCTAAGTGATACTTAAAGCCGCATGGTGAAAATCTGCAACAAAATGTAAAAAACATTAAACACATTATTAATAACTGTATTCCCAAAAAAAAGTAATAAAAATTGTTCCAATATTACGGTTAAAAAAATGTGAAACATCACTAATAAGAACTTGTTTTACTTAAAGGTTAAAGACACAGACAAACTAAAAATGTAACAGGACAGAATGCATGTGGCATGTGACCTGTTGATCTACGCTTAGACATATTGTCAAGATTATATTGCAGTGCCACACACTTTATAACAATTTATTCTGAAATGTGAAAATTATACTTAAAACTGTTCTGCCGAAACAGACATAAAAGAGCAGGCACTTGTTATAGAAATGACACCAGTTCGTCCACTTTATAAACATACGGATTGTTGTTTACCTTTTTAATGCTCTGTACATAACTAGCAAATAAAATTAAGGTAACTTCCGAAAAAATAAAAACATATTCCCACGATTAAAAAAAAAGGTACTTGACATACACTGGGCGTTATTGTTATGTTTACACCGTTGTTAGGAGGCTATAAAATCTTATGTCATGTGAATTTTCTTTAAAAACTACCATTTTGTACTTACATTTTTGGAATTTGAATTTTATCGGCATCGTTTTGTCGTCCAAAGTCATGCCATGGTCGACTCCGTGTTGTGCCTTGCGATCCCGGAGACTGTGCACTACTGTTAGCTCTTTGTGATAGTGATAAAGGATCCAGAAGGGAGGAGTTAGTATGGCAAAGTTCTGTGTAATCAAACGACTGGAACAAAATTGTTAGGTTTGTATAACGATAATCGGGCGGCATGGTTTATATCTTGTATACGCCTCTGAAATAAATTTATTATCTATCCGCGCAATTTTCTAGCAGCAAAAGTGAAAAAGTTCACATTCTGATCCATTACAGCTAATCAGTGTGTCTCAGTTTTCAATCGAATAGATAAAACTCTTACACGGTTCTGAACAGTCGAGTTGGATCGGCTCTTAAATGGTTTCAAATTCAAGATTTGAAAGTAGACAACAAATATATATATTTCCACATTTATTTTGATTGTTTTAGTTAATTTTTCACTTTTCAGTTTTCATGAACCTCTACCTGCTCAGTGTGAGGAGAATGTTAGGTTTAAATTACCAAATTGTATTTATTTGTTACTTCCAAATCTTTGTTACTTAATACCTCTGAAGTCTGAAACCACCACCTTTCCGAAGTTGTTGGGAACTTTGGGTTTGTTTATATTTTGGATAATAAATTAAAGGGCCTCTTTCCAAAGGCAGATCGATTTCCTGAATAATTATACTCAATAATTAGAAACGCAACTAATTACTGAGCAAATTTCTCTATTTACGTAAAAAGGGTCTGGAGAAAGTGCTTATGCAATGCTTATTCCTAATGTTGAAGCCTAATGAACTGATATTCTTTTTCGGGGTCAACAAATGTAATTATCATAACATTTAGTTTAGTTTTTCTGACTGAAGACTCAAACGGGTTTCTTATGCCAAGGTAGCAGTTAATTTAAACATAATAATAATTATCGTTCAAATGTATTTGAAAGATATTTATCCATGATTAGATTCTAAATTTTGTTTACAAAAGTTATGATCATTGTGGACAAAATATAACATTAATTTCTATACAACTAATTTTTGGTGAAATTGATTTTTTTCTTCATATACCTACTTATCTATTTATTTTAAGCCAGAGTGTTGGAAAAAATAATAATATAGGTTTTCTTAATCTAAGTTCGGAGACCTATTTCTGTGTAAGTAAAGTCAGTATTTTTATTAAAATCATAATAATTTTTGTAATCCATTTTGATTATAGTTGAGTAGTTGGTACATTGGTACTATATACAGGGTGTCCCACGATGGATGGCGTATTAGACGTTTATGGAGAACTAAAAAGCGGATTATTTTGAAAATTTGGCAACCGGGATAAATGATCATGATCTACACTTTAGAATTTTTTTTGACCATGCGGTGTTGCCGCTTCTACTCTAAACTAGTGGCAACATCGCTATTTTAAATGGAACACCCTGTATGTGATTGCATATTCGAATTCTACGTAAAATTCTGAGCAGATTTCATGTGATATACCCTATACCTAAGTTCAACTGTTTTGAAAATATTGACAGTTGAAAATTGACTGTTTGCAACTTTGACAGGCTGTAAAACCTGAACGGTTAATTTTAGAGGAAAATCGATTTTACATTCCTGTCTTAGATTTTTATAAACTATCATTTGACACCAACTTTGAACTTAACCGGAGATTAAATTTAACTGGAATTTTTAATCATGGATTTAATTCAAAGTTGGTGTCAAATGATAATTTATAAAAATCTAAGATAGGAATGTAAAATCGGTTTTCCTCTAAAATTAACCGTTCAGGTTTTACAGCCTGTCAAAGTTGCAAAAAGTCAATTTTCAACTGTCAATATTTTCAAAACAGTTGAACTTAGGTATAGGGTATATCACATGAAATCTGCTCAGAATTTTACGTAGAATTCAAATATGCAATCACATACAGGGTGTTCCATTTAAAATAGCGATGTTGCCACTAGTTTAGAGTAGAAGCGGCAACATCGCATGGTCAAAAATATTTTTAAAGTGTAGATCATGGTCGTTTATCCCGGTTGCCAAATTTTCAAAATCATCCGCTTTTTAGTTCTCCATAAACGTCTAATACGCCATCCACCGTGGGACACCCTGTATGTATAACGACATGTCTAGAATTTTTTTGTTATTCGTCTTGGATCACGGAATTAGGTATACCGTCTATTTTATAGGAAAAAACTCAACAGCTGAATTGTAGCATCACTTAAACAAAAATATTTCTTATTGAGCATAGTAAAAGACTGACAAATTAACATCAGATCAGCAAATATTTATTGTAATAAACTATAAAACCTACCTTTTCCGGCCATTTGGATGACAGAAATTGAAATGCAAAGTTAATATTAAGTTATTTTAATAAATCAAGTAAAACGACTCACGTTACGCAAAGAATGTTTTAAACTTACAAAATATTCGAAATGCTTAGGAAAATCCTTCTAATTTACTGATACCTATTGATGGAGAAAACAAAATTAAAAGTAGTTTAGGTACTTAGTTCTATTTGGTTGAAAGCGACCGAAGTTCCTAGAAAAGTGTAGCTTTGTATGGAATTATTGGAAATTATTACCTACTATATGAAACATTATCACAAAAATAGGTTCTATTTTAACCGAGAATTTAACCATGTTTCGGAAAAAAAAATTACGTGGAAAACTTGTGTGTGAAAGTTTAGCGATGAGCAGGTATATAAAAGTAGGTAATAAGACAGAAGCCGAGACAGGAATAATTAATTCAGCATTAATTGTTAATACATTATATTGACTAGAAACAGAAACCTAACGAGGTCTTCTAAAATGTTGGCTTAGGTATTTTTCCCACTTAGACAGCGCCAAATTAAGGTGTTTATGCATTTTTAGCATGGATTATCCTTTAAACAATTACTTACATGATAACAATCGCTTGCCAATCACTTAGGTACCTAATTCAAGAAATTTGGATTTAGTGTGTATGGCGTTGAATCTTTTGTAGATGTTTATAAAAGTCCATTGAATAGATAAATTTGGGAAGAAAGTTCCGTGGATAAACAATAAATTTATAAAGAGCTGGGATAGTGGATGTAGGTTTGTTTCTAGGGCTCACCTGTTGCAACGTATTCTGGTCGCGAGGAGTAATGGCATCAGCTCCGATTCCACTATCTGGGCTGGGAAGATCAACGGTAAGTCCAGCAGCAGCAATAACTCCTTTTCCATGATACTGGGATTGTCGAACATAACGTTCTACAAAACTACTAGTAGCTCCTCCACTAGCTACATCTTCACCATAAGTGAGTTGTCCTTGTCTTAGTTGTGTAGAGTATACAGGTTCAGGAGTTCCTGCACCGGAGGCAACAGTAGTAAAATATTCCCGATAATATGGATCAGCGGATACTGAGAATGTACCGGAGCTACTTGACGGTCTTCCAGAGGAAGTTGCGTATATAGCTGCACCAGTACCAACAGGAACACCTCCCATTGAACTTTGGCTATATTGGATATTATGTTCATTGTAGGGAGTCGGCGAAGGAGTTCCACTACCACTATGACCAGCGCTGTTCATGGAGGCAAATATTTGTGTGCTATACATTGCTGGTTTGAGTCCATCCGCAGAGATAAATTCTATAGGTCCCGTATTGGATCCGTCTGCCAGAAGACTACTGTGAGTCGAAGTTGGGGTTCCGTTGACTGAACGAGAACCGTCCTGAGGAGAATTAAGTCCTCGGTGACTCTCGTCTTTAATTGCATTTACATCCACTACTAAATCTGCTGGATGAGTTCCACCAGAAGTCGATAAAAGCACCACCTATAATCACCAAGGTATAAAATTACATGAAGAATATTTTTTTAAATATTTTGTATAGCAAACACCCTGCTCTAGGTGGCCCTAGGACTAACCTACTTTGAAATATAGGTATATACCAGCGGAGCATGCACTAAGCCAGCAAGAAATAGAGTAAAGACCATAATTTATAGAATAAATAATTGGGAATGTCCAAGAAATCTGTTATCATTCCCCTCAGGAGTAACTCCAAGAAAATATTGTTCACTTCAAACATTCACTGCATCTTTTACATTCACACCTCCACGCACCAAAAAAAATATCAGATTATTGAAAAATCAACATCCACTTTCTATCACTTTAATCACCTTGGGTCGGGATTGTTTCGAAATAATTATCGAGCCATCTAGGCTTCCGGAACTGGGCGAGCTACAATTCAGTTTCCTGTGGTGGCTCAGATCTTCGGGTTCCCGTTTCACGATCTGCAAATTTTGTCCGCCGGTGCCCGCGGGCTGTGCATACCCAACTTGCTGGTTAATAAATAAACCTTGCAACTCTTGGGAGCTCAATTGACCGCTGTTCATGGGCGGAGTCGACAGTTCTAGTCCCGCCCCGCTCATTAATCCATTGGTCGCCTTGAGTTGCGACGTTAGGATGCCTGCGGCCTGGGAACTTGGTCTGTAACAAATTTATTACGTCATACGCACTTTTAAATGGTTAAGCTTTTTAAATTTGTCATTGTAATCTCAGTGGCGTAGCCAAGAGCCGTCTCTTTCCTCCCCTCTACACGTCGACACCTTTCCTATTGGTATAGTTCAGAATTAAGCGAATTAAGTGTACCAAAATTGTCATACATTAGTTGAGAATGATTTCTAGCTAAAAAGGATACTTGTTGCTTGTTTCGACATAAGAGCAAAAATGCATCTCTAAAAACTTTCCCAGAATGGTCTTTTTCTCCCTAGAGTCTGTGCCACTATATATAAGATATGGCCTAATCGTCAGCTTTGGTACATTTTCAAAGTATCATAATATAGGTACCTAGTTAGTATAGTAGCAGCCGAGCTAGTTAACATTAAGTAGGTACCTATATATTTTTTTGTCATGCAAAAACTGCAAACTCCTATTAATCAACGTTCACCACTTAGACCGGTTGTCCCAAATAGTGGTTCAGCTGAACTCTACTGGTAGGTATTGATCTTTCCTATTTAGGCATATTTCTGACATCAATATGCATTTAAAATGAGAAAGATCACTGTTACTATACACAACCAGACCTACCTAACAGTTCTAAACGATATTATGAGCAATTTAAAAAAAAATAAGTCCTGAATCCAAATGTCTAAGTTGTATCTAGTTCGCTAATTAATATGTACCTATGCGAGATGTTCAAATACAAATAGCTACACTGGGTAGATGAAGATATCACAATAATTAGGTACCTATTTAAAAAATATACCTAAGGGCAAGGACGATCTAGCAAATATAAGTGCGACTTTATCTAATTATAGGTAGGTAGGTACTTATAGTTAATTTATTTGTTCATACGTATCAAATACAAATAGGTAATTTATTTTATTGCCATGTAGGAAGTTAAAATTCCGATCCATTTTTCTTAAATTTGTTCACGATTTCACATCAGGTACTTTTAAATCGAGACTATTTTTAGAAAGAAATTGTGTAATTGGTAGGTGATAAAAACCAGTCCACACAACTCATTATCACTCATAAAACAGTCAACTTATTTGCCGTGACTAAGATACAACCGGAGACTTACTGGCGAGTGGTATTTAAGCATGTTAAAAACTTAAGCATTATAAAAAAAATAGTTTCATTTTTTTTATATCGATAGGTGCCTGTTCACCAATCCAACTATTTATGTAATTAAATAACAAGAAAGAAAAAAGGCGGCAAAAGTGATAAAAATGTTGCACTTCATGGACTCACTTGGAATATTGTTGACTAGACTGCAAGCAATCACGTGCTCGTGTTGTACGGCGCGTGGTTTACGCTACGGCATTGTGAAGGTGACCCGGTATGCAGGTCCCCAGTCCAGTACCAGTAATCTCGATTAGCGCCGAAGAATAAACCAGTCTGGTGAAAGATTCTAACATCAGATTAAATGTACCTTAGAATTAGGTAACTTCCTGTCTTTAGCAATTTAGTGCAACTTTGTACTCAAATTTTGTCGTAGGTAATTATTAATATTTAATATGTGCTGTAGGTTAAGTATATAGAATAAACTATTTTTTTAATAAACAAATGTGAAATTAAGTTCTAGTTTATCTAGCCGCGCACTCTATAAATAGCTATAAAATATTTTTTTGGAAGGCATCTAGTTTTTGAGAAAGATATAAAACGTCATCAAGTAGTTAAATTTTATATTGTCTAGTCAAACCGGTGAATGTTTTTACCTGAATAGACTGAAAGATTCGTCTCTTTTATTTTTTTCCTCACCAGTTTTCTTCTAACGGCTTATACCTAGTAATTCTGTTTAAATTTAATAAAAAAAGAAAACTCTTTCTTCCACGAAATTTATTCAAATGACTGACCTAACCTATGTACAGATCCTGCGTTAACATGCGTTTTGTATTTGTAAGGATTTCAAGTTTTTGACTTCACCAATCGAAGATGGATGTCAGATTTAGTGTTGGAGAAGAAGTTATAGATTCGATTATCTCGGAAACAAACCGTCAGGCCTTGATTCTTGATTCACCATTATAATCTTTCTTGTATCCCCAATCGAGATTTATAATCAAGATATTCCAATAACCTAGCTTTTTAAAACATCACAAATGAGCTAAGAGAAGATACTAAGTCATTCGACTTTAGAGAAATTCAGAAAATTTCTATTTTTAACTGAACTGACTCTGATAAAAGTGTGCTAGAAACTTTTTTCTTGCAAATTGCAGTGTCTGCAGCTGTAAACTTTAAACTCTGAATTCTCAAATAAGTGTTTTTTTTAAGTCTCAGTGTATGGATTGATTCCTCTAGGACAGTGGTTCCCAGCCTTTTTTTAGTCACGACCCTTTTAGAGATTTACTCATAAGGTCGCGACCCCCCTACCCATTAATACAATAATAGATAAAAAACAAAATTTCATTTATTCGAGAAATCTTTAGTAAAAATATTATAATATTTCGATGACTGAGTTCGCATCTCCGTTTTGAAATTCTTGGTTGAGTTTTTGTTGAAGCCAATCTTACGTCGTCTTGGAACGCCCAGCCCAGTCTACCTATTTCTGGCGTTTGTTCTAATTTGCAAAAGAGTTGAAAACCCACTTTCACGAAGGTAGGTAGAGGCAAATGGTACTAGTATCCGAAAAGAAAGCACAAAGCACAAGCAGGGCGACATAAGGATATGAACTATGCATGGCACATCAAAATTCAGTCAAGAATTTTTCCTGAAATAGGGCAGGTGCTGTGGAATCATTCCTCAGATCTAAAGATTCATCCTGCACTTCATCAGGAACGTCGGCAACATCTAACGAGGCTTGAAACGGGTTCGTTACTTACCTTGTTCAGATAACTCGGGAATAACGCCCATTTCATTCTCAAGGGATTCAAGGTGATAATTAATTTTCTATTTTAGATTCTCCTTAATTTTTTGTTTCTGATGCTTCAACCATTATATATAGCTACCTATGTTCAAAAACATGCTACTCACAACACAACACTCACAACCTGTGCTATGCGCTTCAGCGCTTCATCCGTAAAACCAATGGAATGCTGCGCGGATTTTGAGGCGGAGGCTGAGGCGTGTTGCCAAATGCAGGAAAATATATATTGGCATTGCGACCCCTCCAAAAATTCTATGCGACCCCCTTAGGGGTCGCGACCCACCGGTTGGGAACCGCTGCTCTAGGACCTCTGGCGTGCCCGAAGAGAACAGGATCCAAATTCTCATAAATAATACAATTTGCAAAAAAAAAGTCATGACTTGCCACAGGTCCTGGAGTAGTCAGTTTATACATTGTTAATTATTTGAACTTCTGACGGAACTGTAGGTACTATGCTGAAGGCTGAACAAACTTGAAATTCAAAATAGGGAGATTTTAAAAAAATCTACGTGAAAATGAGGGTGAGCTTATTATTTCTCAAGAATCTGAATTTATTTCTGGCCACTTTGTATATGAGTGTTTTGTACCAGTAGTATAGAGGTAGGTAGGTACATAATAATTAAAAAAAAAACTATAATTATAAAATCATCTGGTTGTGTTTTCTTCGGCTTGCTTTGGGATTAGGGATTCAATGAATAATTATGGATCATCATTAGGTATAAACGTGTAATCAAAGAAATTAAACTTTGAATGTTTCAATTTATTATGGAAAGTCGCAGCCCTTGCCAAAAGGTCCTGGAGTATAGTCAGTTTATATACATTGTTAATTATTTGAACTTCTGACGGAACTGTAGGTACTATGCTTAGAAAGCTGAAAAAAACTTGAAATTCAAAATAGGGAGATTAAAAAAAAATCTACGTGATAATGAGGGTCAGCTTATTCTTTCTCAAGAATCTGAATTTATTTCTGGCCACTTTGTATATCAGTGTTTTGTACCAGTAGTATACATAATAATTAGAAAAAAGAACTATGTAATTATAAAATCATCTGGTTGTCTGTTCTTCGACTTGCTTTGGGATTAAAGATTCAATGGATAGTCATGAATCATCATTAGATATAAACGTGTAATCAAAAAAATTTAACTTTAAATGTTTCAATTTATTATGGAAAGTCGCAGCACTTTAACAACGACTCATATTTTTAATGTTTACTTTTGATTCGTTTTCAATTGCCCTTGACTATTTCGGACCTGCGGATAATCAAAAATCTATAAAAATTATCAGCAAAAGCAACATAAAGTCATACTTTACTTAAGTGATGTATGCCTTGCATTTTGAATAAAGCTCAGATTGAAAATTGGTGTTTCTATTGAAATGATAATGAAATTTCAAGCATCCGTTGTTAAAAAATTTCACACATTCATCATTGCACATTTGCGAATTTATACAGAGCACTGTTCGTCTTTTAAATCTGGTGTCTTATTTACATTGCGCCCCTTTCCGGTCAATAAATTTAATACATCGAAATGAATATTTAAATTTAAAACTAACATACGTTTTAAATCCCACGTCTGAAGGTCTATAAAATTTGTAAGGGGTTTCACTTGATACTATCAGTATCACGTTACTATGCAGATACGAGATAAGTATTTTAATAAAAGGGATTAAAATTACATATGTAGGATATTGTCCTGAAGCTCGGTTTGAAAAAAAGGAGATCTCTCAGCCCCTCCGGGGTGAAGGTAAAGCGTAAACAGAGATTCAAATACATATAACCATTGCGGCCTTTTGAGTTATTTTGATTTATCACGGGATAAAAATATCTATGTGCCGTTTTCGTATAACCCATTTATGGGATTAGGGTTGCTTAACCAAAATAATTTCAAAACAGAGTTTGTATGTAAATGAGGAGGGACTTTTTTAACTGCAACTTGAACCCAATGAAATTTTTTTTGTTATTTTTTTTTTCGTACACTTTAATTAAAAGCTTTGTTAAAACCAAAATCGTTTGAAAAGTAATTTTATCTTTCTAAGTTTGGCACCTGCAAAATATTTATACTTCATATACTTCTACCTCGTGATATAAAATTATAAAAAATATTCAAAAACAGTAAGGTATGGG